GTTTGGCTCGGTGGATAGAGCGTCAGCCTGTGGACTGAGGGGTCCTGGGTTCAATTCCGGTCAAGGGCATGTACCTTGGTTGCAGGTACATCCCCAGTGGGAGGTGTGCAGGAGGCAGCTGATCGATGTTTCTCTCTCATCGATGTTTCTAACTCTATTCCTCTCCCTTCCTCTCTGTAAAAAATCAATAAAATGTATTTTTTTTAAAAATAGGTAGATAATTGTGATGCTTCTTCCATCTCTGTCCTAAAAGGGCTTTCTGTTTCCTTAAAGGAATTGAATCTAATAATTCCATCACAACCTATTGATAATTTCAAATTCACTACTTCCTTCCTGAGCATAAAGTTTATTAAAGATATATGCTGTGTTCTCTGAGAAATGAATTACACACACTTACTTTTCTCTTTCATGCCAACCTGTGGATTTTTATAAAAGATGTTCTAAAAGTGGTTTCATTCTAACAAACCATATTGATGCAGTCTAAAAGGACCACCACAGAGTGAGGTTCAGTTGTAAAGTTCACGAGAAATTAGTAGAGGTTTTCTCCAAATTGCTCTTATGCTTTTTATTGCACTTAAAAGTAAAGATTTATGTTTGAAAAGTAGAGAAGAATGCTGACTTCTTATGTAACCATCTATGCTCTTAGGCAAGGATAAAGACCTCTTAAGAGTTATATATTTTTTAACAAAGCTAAACATTCTAAAATTAATTTTTTTATTAAGGTAACATTGCTTAAATAGCAAATTTCAGGTATGCAACATTATAATTTGTTTCTGTATACTCTATTTCCTGCTCACCACAAAAGTCTAATATCTCTCCATTACCATATATTTGACCTCTTTACCCATTTCATCTTCCCACTTTCCTTTCCCTCCGATTACCACCTTTCTGTTGTCTATATCTCTGGGTTTGTTTTTGTTTTGTTATGTTTATTAATTTGTTACTTTTTTGTTTTATATTCCATATGAATGAAATCATACAGGTTTTGTTCTTTTCCATCTGATTTATTTCACTTAGTATAATATCCTCAAGATCCATCCATGTTGTCACAAATGGTAATTTTTCATCTTTTTTATGACTGAGACCGTGTGTGTGTGTGTGTGTGTGTGTGTGTGTGTGTGTGTGTGACATATCATATCTCCTTTATTCACTCATTCATTGATGGACACTTAGGTTGTTTCTGTATCTTGGCTATTGTAAATAATGCTGCAGTGAACATAGGGGAACATACATCTTTTTGAATTAGTGTTCTTACAAGTAGAGAATTGTTTTTCATCTGAATTTATAGCTGCCAGAATGTAGGTTGATAATCTCAAGTCTGATATTTATTAACATAAGAAGGATAAATAAATTCTGGTATACCTTTACAAAGGAATACTGTTCAGCAATATTAAGGATATATAAGTTGGGGATTTTAAATGCCTATTCCCAGTATCTTCGGGTTGTATATGCATGTGTTAATTTAGATGTATTTTCTTTTGGAACTCTTATTGTCAGGGAACAGATGATGAATGGTGAGAGTGAGATTTCCATTTCTTTCATTTAAAAAAAAAACACATTTAAAATGATATAGCAATTAGTGGAAAAGTTAAGGTCTAAATCTCTTAATATTTCTTTATTGATTATTTTTCTTGATATTCTTGGAATATATTTATTGGGATTTTTAAATAAAAGGTTTTTGGTGCATGATAGGAAAACAGCAAGTTGCAAAATGATAAAGTGAGCATGAGAGAAATTAATGTACATTATTATGCAAATATTCACTCAAGTTTTTAGAAACCATCTTTAATGAGATATCATTTACATACAATGAAATTCACCAATTTTAAGTGTGTAATTCCATGAGTTTTGACAGATGTATAGTCATGTAATCATACTACAATGAAGGTATAGAGTTTTTTTGTCACCCCAAAAGTTTCCTCATACCCCTTTGCTGCCAATCCTTCCTCCATTCCTTGGCAACCACAGATCTGTTTCCTGTCACTATAATTGTCTCTTTAAATTTTTCTATAAATGAATTCACACAGTGTATATAGTCTTGTGCCTGGCTTATTTAACATAATGCTTATGAGATTCATCAGCATTGTTGTAGCAATTGTTTCTTTTTATATGTTTTCTTTATCTTCTTGTCATCTTTCCTCTACCTTTCTGAATGTAGAAGCATTTTTTAAATGTATTTTTATTTCAGAGAGAGGAAGGGAGAGGGGAGAGAGGAATGGAAACATCAGTGATGAAAGAGAATCATTGATCAGCTGCCTCCTTCACACCCCCTACTGGGGATTGAACCCGCAACCCAGGCATGTGCCCTGACTAGGAATCGAACTCAGGACTTCCTGGTTCATGAGTGGACGCTCAACCAATGAGCCACACTGGCCAGGCTAGGAGCATATTTTTAATAGCATTACTCTGTTATTTCTGTTGATTGAATTTTCTCCTAGTAGTGGGTCATATTTTCCTATTTCTATGAATGCGTGGATTGTTTTTATTATATGTCAGATATATTTCCATTATTAGGTGTTGCATTCCTTTTGATAATTTTGGACTTTGTTCTTGAAATCAATTGGATCCTTTTGAGACTCGCTTTTAAGGTTTGTTAGAGTGGGTCAAGCACAACTTTTAGTCTCAGGCTAATTTAACTCCATTACTAGTGTGATACCCTTCTGAGGTCTTTCCATGTGGGTGGGTGAAAATAAAAACTATTGCCAACTCAGTTGGCTGCATTCTGGTGTATCCTTCCCCGGCACCTGATGGTTTCTTCTCATACTTATGCAGGTCAGCACTCTGCCAGAGGCTCAAGGAGCCCTTCCATAGATCCCCTCATCCTCTCCTATACACTGCCCAATAAATTCTAGCCTCCTTAGCCTCTCCAACTCCCATGTCTGGTGTCCTCAAGTGACAAGACTAGGTTCCCCACCCTATGCAGCAGATTAGGACCTACTCTAGTAGCACAGGGACAATCCAAAGGCTCACCTCCTGTTAACCTTCTCAGTCCTGCACTGCCTGTGGCCCAGTACCTGGAAACCATTGTTTTATATACTTCATCCAGTTTTCTATTGTTTATAGCAGGAAGATAATCTAGTCACTGTTATGCTATCATGGCCAGAGTGGAATTCTCTTCTTTTGAGTAAGAGTAAGCATATATTGCTATTTCTAGAGCACATGGCTCATCATTCCTTAACATACTTAAATATAACACACTTTAATGTCTGCTTTATTATTTGTAAGAGTTATGTCATAATTTTAGTGATGTTCATTAGAGTTCATACTAAGCTAATCTATGTTTGAGTGTTATTTTTTGGTCAACTTGAAATTATTTACATAGAGAGTATTAAATTCGGGTTATTTGTTAATCCTCACCCAAGGATATTTTTCCACTGATTTTTAAGAAGAGTAGATAGGAGAGAGAGAGAGGGAAAGACAGAGAGGAACATCGATATGAGAGAGACACGTCAATTGGTTGCCTCCTGCATGAGCCCCGACCAGGGCCTGGGCCAGGGAGAAGCCTGCAACCAAGGTACATGCCCTTGGCTGGAATCGAACCCCAGGACCCTTTGGTCCATAGGCTGACACTCTATCCACCTGAGCCAAACTGGCTAGGGCAATTTGGGGTTATTTGTAGCAAACATATCTAAAGTAGCTTCCCATCAATGATGGATATAGTAGTATTCTAATTCTAAGGAAATATATTAACCATTTGTATTTCTGGTTGATTGATTTCTCTTTTGAACAGTATGATGTTTGTTTTTTAATATTAATTTTCTGGCTTTCTAATATATGTGAGAAAATGACTGCAAACCTTTTTTTTCTTACTGGATTTATTGGGATGACATCTATAATAATAAAAGGGTAATATGCTAATTAGACCAGAAGTCCTTCTGGGCGTCATCCGAATGTCCTTCTGGACAAAGCCGGGGCCAGAGGGAAGCCTGTGCCGGCAGCCGGGGGAAGGAAGGCCTACTCTTGCACGAATTTTCGTGCATCAGGCCTCTAGTTGGTTAATAAAATTATATAGGTTTCAGGTGTACAATTCTATAATACATCCTCTGTGTTTGTATTATGTGTTCACCACTCCAAGTCAAGTCTCCTTAAAGCATCATCATTTATCCTCCTTCACCCTCTCCGACCTCCCCCAACCCCCTCTGCAAACCTTTTCTTTACTTGGGCATATTTGTAATTAAGATCACCGTTTGAATTCATGGCTTGCTCTCTATTACAGAACAGTTGTTGGGACATCTATTCATAGATTGACCTACCATAATGTCAAAAACAGGCCAAACGTTTAGTCACTTAGCAGTTAGAGAAATGTATGTTTCAATCCATTGGTGTTATAGGGAAGGTGGACAAAGTGGGATTAAAAATATGATTTTAAAAAGGACACATATGTAATACCCTTTGTAATACTTTAAGCAATAAAAAAAATATGATTTTACATTATTATGGATATGCTGTTGCTGTCTGGTAGGAGTTTTAGGGAAATGGTAACATAAAATCAGACTCTTAAGAGGAAAATTTGTGTCTCTACATGGCTTTATCTCTGGTCTTATATGTAAAATTATTCACAGCACCGTTAGGTGGAATGAATATTAAAGTTGAGAGACCTAGATTCTAGTCTCAGCTGTGCCACTTATTACCATGTGACTTACCAGCCAATCACTGCCTTGGTAAGAGTCTCCTGATCTATAAAATGAAGATGAAAATAAATATCCTACCTACTGCAAAAGGATAGGGTGTTAAATGAGATGACAATGTTTGAGGACGCTAATGTGCAATGGAAATATTAGCTGTTAAACTTATTTTGTGCATTACTATAAAATCTGTTGTCAACACCTAGTCTGACAGAATACAAAGCAAGATATATTTATATTTCATACAGCTTGCTGTGCAAAAATATTTTATGTTGGAAAGGAAGAAATAAATCATAGGACTGATTGACAGAATGGAGATAGAGGCGATTGCTCTCTTTTTAATATTATTTTATTTGTTTTCCCATGATTTTCCAGGCAAAGAGTGTGTACAGCAGTTAGCTGAAAATACTAGGTATTTCAGGAGACGTCTGAAAGAGATGGGCTTCATCATCTATGGAAATGAAGATTCTCCAGTGGTGCCTTTGATGCTCTACATGCCAGCCAAAATCGGGTACGTTTTATTGCACAATACAAACTGGTCTCTCTAGGCTTAAGGTTTCCGTGATATTAGACTCAGAATTAGGTATTTTGGCCCCTTTATGTTAACATGTATTCACTAGATATGCCATTGATTAGTGGATTCCAACTTGTAAAATATGTTAACTTGTTAGTCTTTCATTAAACATACATTTGAGTTTAATGCACTCTTCTGGGGGATTGAGATAGATCAGCAAACAATACACAAAAGTAAAAATCCCTCTCCCGTGGAGCTTACGTTCTAGTGGGGTGACAGACAAACATAATAGATAAATAAATTATGACACATGTGAGAGGGTGTTTAGAGCTATGGGAAATACAGAGCAGATATGGGGCATTGAGCGTGCCCTGTGGCGGGCAGTTTACAGCATTAAATGGGGTGGTCAGGGTGAGCCTCAGTGGGAAGGGAACATGACACCTGAGCTTAAAGGACAGAGAGAGTTAGCCACCTGGAGAAAGAAGCTTTTGTGCAAAGGCTATAAGGCAGGAACATGCTTAGCCAAGGGAAGAATAGCAAGGAGGTGAGTGGAGCTGAAGTGCAGTGCCCATGAGGGCGAGTGGTGAGCCATGCAGTCAGGGCGTGTGCTTGCATAATTATCAGAAGTGCAGATTGCACCAGCTTCTTTGGCTTGTGCAAGGTGTGTATAATAGGAAGCCTTGTCCTAGAATGGCTTCCAGTGTATAACAAAACCAGAAGACATTTGAAAAGCAAATATGAAATGAACCAATACAATTATTTGCAAAATAATAACATGCAAAATTGTTCCAGAGATGGAAAATAATTCAGATTTGTGAGTTTTGACTGGTTCTTAGATATAAAATTGGATAAGGTTTAATTGAAGTCATTAAAGGAGCAAATATTTTATTCATCTTTGAATCCCCAGTTACCCACCACAGGCCCTGGCATTCAGAGGCCACTCAGTAATGTTTATTAAAATGAATAGGAGGGAAAATTCAATCAGGGAACCTAGAAACATGGTGATTCCTACGATAATAATGAGAGGGAAATTGGGCAGGGGTGCTCACTGAGGCAAAAAGAGTTCAGTTTTCAACAGGAAGTCATATGGGCAGTTGGCCTTACGGCCTTCAGAAGCAACGGTGGAAATGAGCCAGGCAGAGGTGTAGAATATTCCTCATTCTTGAAATGGAATTATCATGAATAAACTGGAAGAGTTATTCAGTCTGGAGGACTGACTGAATCTAGAACCCTTTCTTTAGAGAGGACTGTGTCTATTTTGCTCTAGTGAAGCTGACTGTGTACATCATAATTAAGACTTGGAGAGAGTGCAGCAGAATTGGAATAAATCACTAGACAGTTTGGGAACATGAGCTGAAGATGCAGGCACTCAGGCCCTTGCTGCCACAAAGGAAGTACATCGAAGACTGTACTGGTACTAGAGGGAGTGGGGACTGGCTGGCGCTAATGTAATTAGTTGCTAATGTAACTAAAATGTGTGTGATTCTTTTTATTTTCAAAAAAACACTTTAAACAACTAAGGGGAAAATACAAAAAGGATTGGTAAGTCAAAAAGAGGAAAAGACAAAGAACATAATTTAGTAAATATAACAATTTACATGAGAGTTAGAATTATGTTATTTAGACAAGATACAGAAGTGGAGCAAAGTCACATGCCACCAGGTTGCCTTGGGGTTGGGGGTTAATGAGAGCTGGGTACTCACACAGCTGGAGCCTGGGGATGTGCTGGCCTCACAAACACCAAAGGAAACCCTGAATTCCAGAGGCAGATTGATGCCCACCTCAGTCAAAGAAATGCCTGGTGTTGGGGGGTTAGTGCTACCAGGCCATTTTACCAGCAGAAGTCCACGGTACAACAGATCCTCTGCCTCCTTATAATCTTAAGAGTCTTCTAAACTGCCAAGCCTAACATTTCAAGAGCCAGGTTTTAAACGCTAGTTCATTTTGAAGCCTCTGAACCACTGTTACATGTCTGGGACACTTTAAGGCCAAAATTGCAAATTACTTTAGGCAAGCCCTATTAAAAATTGGTCTCTGCCAACTGTCTTCTTCACCTTTGTGAAGAAAACCATTTGGGAGACAACCACTTTTGGACTGAGTAAAAAAAGTCTTTGTGAACTGTCCGTGTTAACTTGAAGAGGAAATTCCTCATAGAAGTCTCCAGCGCCTCTCACTCAGGAGTTTAGCTCATTCAGCCCTGCAGGACCTCTGTACTGTATGCTTTATGACTCTTCCTGGTTTCTTTTCCTTGCTTTCCCTTCGCAGCGCCTTTGGACGGGAGATGCTGAAGCGGAACATCGGAGTAGTTGTGGTGGGATTTCCTGCCACCCCAATTATTGAGTCCAGAGCCAGGTTTTGCCTGTCAGCAGCTCATACCAAAGAAATTCTTGATACTGTAAGTAGACACTTTAACCTTGGTATAAAATATCTTATACTAAGAGGGCCTGATTATCAGATGAAATTATTTGTTGATCGTGACGTTCTTTGAGCACCTAAGATATTTACTAGTAAAATAGAGGAAGGAATATACAATGCTACTTAAAACATTGCTGTTTACCAAAAAAGAACAAAGAAAAACCATTAGCATCACCCACCAGACCCTGTGTGATCATGGGGACTTTGGGGAATTTTTTGGCTTCATCTTGTTCCACGCCCTCCCTCTTATGGCCTCTACAACTAACTATACAGTTCTCTTTCTACTCTATGTTTCTACTCTAAACGATCTTATTTGGTTTTTTTGTCTAGGATTTTCTTTCTTGAGCCTTCTCTTATCTTTTCCCTGCTAATTCCTACTCATTCTTCATATCTCCACTTAAAGGAAACTGGCTCAAGGCTATTCCCAAACCCTCTTGCTTGATGTTTCCTTGGAATCTTAATATTTCTCCTTAGCGCCCTAGCCAGTTTGGCTCAGTGGCTAGAGCATCAGCCTGCAGACTGAAGGGCCCCAGGTTCGATTCAAGCAAAGGGCACATGCCCGGGTTGCGGGCTCAATTCCCAGTAGGGGGTGTGCAAGAGGCAGCCGATCAATGATTCTCTCTCATCATTGATGCTTTTATCTCTCTCTCCTTCTCCCTTCCTCTTTGAAATCAATAAAGAAATATATTTTAAAAAGAAAAGATTTCTCCTTAGGGAATTATTCACACCTTTCATTGTTTATGGAAATACTCTCCATTAGATAAATCTTGAGGATAGGAGCTAAGTCTATTTTGCCCATTCTCTATCCCAAGACCTAACACAGTACTAGGCACATTTATGATAGCATTCAAACATTGCTGAAAGAAGATTTAAGTAAATGGAAAGACATCCTGAGTTTGTGGATTGGAAGATTTAATATTGTTAAGATGGTAGGCAGTATAGCAAGATCCATAAATCCATTGTGCAAGCCTTATCAAAATCCCAATGGCTTTTTTTGCAGAAAGTTTAAAGCAGAGCCTCAAATTCATATGGAACTATAGGGTCCCCAGATAGCCAAAATAGTATTAAAAAAGAAAATTGAAGTTGGAGGACTCAAACTTCCTGATTTCAAAACTTAATACAAAGCTATAGTAATTCAAAACAATGGGATTCTAGCATATAGATGTACTTACAGACCAATGGAATAGCACTGAGAGGAATAAACCCAAGCATCTGGCTAATTAATGTTCAAAAAGGGAACCAAAGCTAGTCAATGGGGAAAGACCAGTCTCTTCAACAGATGGTGCCAGGCAATTGGATAACCACATGCAAAATGATAAAGTCGGACCCCCACAGCATGGTTGATCTTAGAAAGCATTATGTTAAGTGAAAGAAGCCAGACACAAGAGACCACATTTACACAAAACCTCCTGTAAAGGCAAATTCCTAGGGTCAGCCCTAGCTGGTTTGGCTCAGGGGATAGAGCGTCGGCCTGCAGACTGAAGGGTCCCAGGTTCGATTCCAGTCAGGGGCACATGCCCGGGTTGTGGGCTCGATCCCTGGTGGGGGGCGTGCAGGAGGCAGTCAATCCATGATTCTCTCTCATCATTGATGTTTCTATCTCTCCCTTCCTCTCTGAAATCAATAAAAATATATATTTTTTAAAAATTCGTAGGGTCAGAAAATAGATTGGTGCTCCTGGCTAGGTGACTCAGTTTTGAGCGTCATCCCATACACCCAAAAAAAAAAAAAAAGTTGCAGATTCAATTCCTGGTCAGGGTACATACCTAGGTTGCAGGTTCAATTCCTGATCAGGATATGTATGGGAGGCAACCGAACAGTGTTTCTCTCTCTCTTTCTTTCTCTTTCTCTCTCCCTTTCCTCTCTCTCAAATCAATAAACATATTGAGGATTTTTTTTAAATTACTCTTTAAAACTAAGAAAGGAAAGAAAATCTATTAGTAGTTATCAGGGCTAGTGGTAAGGGAGGAATGAGGATTGATTGATAGGAGTATGAGGTTTCTTTTTTGAGGTGATATGCTTTATAATTAGTGATGAAAGTTGTACAACTCTGAATATATTAAAAGCATTGACTTGTACACTTTGAAAAGGTGAATTTGTGGCATGTGAATTGTATCTCATTAAAGTGTTATTTTTAAAAATAAGAAGGGCAGTGCTATTGGTTCAGGAGCCCCGCTGTTCTAAAATACTCTTATTAAAGGACCACACTCAACCCTATAATTAACACTTTTTTTAACTAAGAACCCATCTTACCCTGTGATCCAGAGGTCTGGTGTAGACTCTTTGTTAACAAATGGTGGTCCTTGTAATGGTTCCTAATTTCTAATCTAACCAGGTAACCCCACATAATAGCCGGCAGTTTTAGTTACAATTTTACCTTTTATGTAAATAAAACTTACTCATCTGAAATATTTGGTTTGGGATCAGAAGAAATTTTGTTATCTAGATCCCTTTGGGCTACTGTGGGTTTATTCCTGTCTCTATTCATTTTCTTTTTTAAATTGATGACAAAATATTAAGTTCTTCTGAAGTTTGAGTTCATAAATGTCCTTTACTCTGTGATCTTAGTAAGTCATGTGTTGTTTTAAATTAACAAATTCTATATCAGAGGTCAGGAGCATAAATGGCTAATGGGTTCTCACAGCTAAAATTCAACCTTAAATTGTTTCCATATGGAGCTTTCAGTTAAGCCTCTTCCCAAAGGTACCACTGTTCTGATAACACATTGAAATACAGCTCTTACTTGCTTTTTATATCTTTTCACATTTGGAGTGAAGAATGTTTTATCTTATGCTGGAATACTATTAGTGGGCTTTTCCTCTCTACAAACACTGATTTTTAAAAGTTAAACTTAGGAATAGGTAAATGTGGCTTTTTACTAATAATGAACTGATTCCCTCTTCTGAAGTAGAAGGTGTACATTTTTACATGTTATAACCATAAGTGGACAGAAGATGTAGATGGCTTGATGGAATGCAGAGAGTTACAGGGCTTCTACTGCCCACCTTACTGTTTCTTATGAGATGGTGTCATAGAGCCATCATCTCCGAAGCCAAGCGCATTCACCCCAGGCTTGTTATTAGACCCACTAGGTAAAGTCCACGGGTCTGGGGAGTGAGTAACAGGGCTGCAGAGCTACCGTGAATTGAAAATTGCATTCTTTGACCTATGCCAGGTTCTTTTATTAGAAAGTCTTAGCATCTAGGATTTGAAACATTTTGCTGTCTTCCTTGAATTTCTCTGAGATATATCTGGAGCTTAGAGTTTTCCTATCCTTGCAGTAAATTTTTCTCTGAGAAATTCTAAACACATCCCTTTCTTATATTGAAATCCTCTATTTTGACTGTGTGTGCTGCTTTTTGGAAAGGTTAACTCTGTGAACTCTGATTCATATGTTGCTGTATGTATGTCATATTTCAAGAGCTTTTTTCTTCAATACACATAAGAGACCATACATGGGTTGCTGCTACCAGGTAGACCAGTGTAGCAATCAGGAAGACTTTGCCTTTTATAGCTTGCCTTACTGTTTGAATTGTTTTATATGAAGCCTATTTTCTTTGAAAAATAAAGGGCTAATTTTACAGGAAAGAACATTATACTGAGCAGAGTTTTGATGGGAAGATGAGATAATCTCCCAAGATTGGGGTTCTGGAGCTCAAATCGAACTCTGTCCTTTCCCTGCTCCTCCCTTACCTGCAGCCCTTTCCTCACCCACACAGTCTCCTCCTCACGTTTTCACTTGTTCTTCCTGAGTCAGGACAGCAGTCCACTTTGGGGAGTTTCTCCATCTTGCATCTGGGAGGCATCTCCGCGCAGACCTCTCGTCAGTTTTCTGGAGCATGATACTGGAAAGAGTAAGCACTGAAGTATAAAAGGAGAGAGAACACATTGTGGCCGGCCTGGCAAGTCCAGGGCACATGTTCATTTTCCTGCCGAGCATAACATACTGTGGTGAATTATACCTTTTATCCTGAATGCCTGCTATTCACAACCCATTATTCATGGTCAGCCCCACGTTCTTACTCAGAAAGCAGCTCTTTTCATAGCTGCACTGTGGTCCGGCCGGAGTAAGTGCACTGGATGCAAACAGTCCCACCAGAGGATGGGAAGCACCGGCCACGCCTGCAGCCCCTGGCTCTGACCACCTCTGCTCTGTCTTACGTTTCAGGCTCTCAAGGAGATAGATGAAGTTGGGGACCTACTACAGCTGAAGTATTCCCGTCACCGGTTGGTGCCGCTGCTGGACAGGCCCTTTGATGAGACCACATATGAAGAAACAGAAGACTGAGCCTTTTTGGTGCTCCCTTACGGAAACTCTCCCTCACCCAGGACAGTGTGTGGCCTTTCTGAGCCAGTTCCAGGAACCACACTTCTGTGGCCGTCTCACGTGAAAGACATTTTCTCAACTACTGACGGTGGCCACCTCCACTCCAAATGGCATTTTGTAAATAGGAAAAACTGCTCCACGTCTTCCTTTGCTGCATTTCACCTTTTAAAAAAGGTGACTCACTTTGCTTTTTTGTCCATTAAAAAATGTTTTATTTTATAACTATCCTATTTGTGAAATCACGCTGACCCTAGCCTGTCTCTGCTAACCACGCAGGCTGTTGCCCTTCCCCAGCCACCTCGCAGCCTTGGGCCCATCCAAAGCTGCCAGCCAGCATCACAGCCTCAAGACTCACCTGGCCCCCCCTCCCTCGGGAGCAAGTGCCTTCCACTTACTTCCACTCCAGATCCCGGAGGTTGCCAACCTGGGAATCCTTATTTAACCAGTCAAGTAATCAACCAAAGTGTTCTGCTTTTAGTCTTAAGTTTAGCCTTTTAAGAAAAACAGAAAACGTTAACACTGTTGATATTCTCCCTCGTTGTGTAACTCCCCCTGGTCTAGAGCCTCCCAAGTCGTGGTTTTGTTCCATTTACTGGAATGGAACAAGGATTTCTTCATTCACCATCAAATATTTCTTCATGATGGTCACTGTCTGGGGGTATGTCCAATTTCTGGATTCTTCCCAAGCTCTAACTTAATGCCCCCACCCCCTACGTAGAACACTGAAATTGTTTTAAAGGCACTCGCACGCCACCCTGATCAGACCTCCGTGATGAAGCTGACTCACACTTCACGATTCCGTGTTCAAAGCTGCTCCGTGGAGTGATGTGCAGTCCTGCTGGGTGAGGGGCAGGGGCAGCCGGAAGAATTGATTACCACTTGCAGAACCAGACTGTCTGTGGTTTGCTCCTTAATGCTATCTGCTTTTCAAAATTATGATGGCCTCTGCCTGGGTCTGGGTCCAGATTAGGATTTAAACTGATAAAGGGAAATGTTGGTAAATCCTCTGCTCAGAAATCATTTGTCATGTTCCTATAAGGATTAAAGTTATTAACTTGCCCTTTTTAGAAGTTGGCCCATTTAAATATCACTCTTCTGAGTGCTGGTTCTCTTTATTCTTGATGTCCTAAGACAATTCTAACCTGACATCAGGGGTTTAGTCTCCCTTGCCTTCCATTACCTTCCCTTCTTTTAAAGAAATTCTGAACACATATCTGTTGGCCAAACTGGCACCATCTCTACTGACTCTGTTTTCATATCAGGTAAGGGGACTTCTTTCAGAGAGCTTTATGCTGCTTGACCAAAGAACACATCTGAAAATCACCATGTTAAAGTTCTTTTATTTTATTTTTTTTCTGTTAACCAAAGCTTCAGTGAAAAGAACTTTAGACTCTATTCTGCGGAAGATCAGCTTGTCTTTTAGTAGCCATCAGGTATGATAGGGAAAGATTGAGAACCCAATGACATTTTCTTCATTGAGAAAAGAATCCTGTGAAAGTATTTTTGCACATCTCTAATTGTGAAACCACTCCTTTTATTGGTAAGAATTCTCAGTCCAGATTCTCTTGGGCATCTTATCATCAGCTGTGGTATGTTTGTGCTAATACATGTAGTGGAGGATGTATGCAATATTATTGTTTGTGAAGTTTTGTTTTCGTGTCTCAACTTGTCTTTGATCACTCTCAGCATCTGAGAGCCTTAAGCCCTTGAAATGTTCCAAGGTTTCATTTTACTTTTTTAAAGAATAGCAAGGGGTGAATAAAAGAACCATGTGGATATGCGGGGACTATACTTAGCATGTACAAGCTGCAGTAAGAAAGAAATTGTGGTGACCAAGTAACTCGTCCTGTAAAATAAAGTGCATTGCTACCCTTTCCTGCACATCTAGTGTCTCACCCTAGGACCCCATAGAGTACCAGATGGCTTTTGCACTGCAGTTACTATGTAGTGGTGTGGGGTTTGCAAAAGTCACAAACTTTACGCAATGAACTTACTTGCTAGTCTTTATTTTGGCTTGCATGAAGTCAGTGCAATATAAAATATCAGTATGGGCATTTAAAAAGTTATATATCACTTTGCTGGCATAAAATTATTTCAGTATAAAAGTAGTTAAATTATAAGTTTATTTTGAAGAAACAAAAGTCCTATGATCGATCCAGGACCTCTGCTGTCTAGAGGACAAAACATTATACATGCTGGTTGTCTCTTTTTGAAACTGTAATATAAATCTAGGATCCAGTCATATAGCAAGTATCATTCTTTAACCAAGCCCTTGGGGGAATACAAGTGTATATAAATACAGTCCTTGAGAACAAGTCGAAATCTGGGACTTGTAAGTATTGTTTAGTACATGGTTTAACACAGCCGGATTTGAGAATCTGATGGGATTCAAACAGGCATCAGCTAACCGTGACTACCAAAGCTGATCATCTGAGTCAGTCAATGCAGGTGTGACTCAGCCTTATCACGTTTCCCCATCTCTCTCTTTAGCATTCTTGATCCATTCCAGGTTTAGGAGACTTTTGTGCAGATTACATCAAAACCCAGGAAATCTATAATGAGGGGACATCAAAATCACACACAAAGAATGGAGCAGATAGCAGATCATCCTCCCACCTTTGCCCTAGAATGTGATGTACATTCTAAAGCAAGGAACTATGGGAAATGCTCAGGGGCTTTGAAGCACTTTTTCAACTTTTTGCTTTGCTTTGGAAAATTTCTTCTCTATTTAAAACATCCTAGTCTCCAGAACCCCAAAGTCTCTATCTTAAACTTTGATGATAGGCTGAGGATTTCAGATGGTCAAAACACGCTTCTTCCTCATGTAGTCATGTAAGGTGGACAGAATATCCTACATGACTACTGAGGACTGTGTGTGCCTAATGCCCTTTCAGAGGCCAAGGAATTGGGTATTCTTCCCATGATTTATCTCTATACTCCCTCCCTCCTGTATTTGGCTTTTCTTTCTTTCTGTTCTTGATTTTTAGAATTCCACAGGCAGTGAAGAAAAAGATTTGGGGGGATTCTTGTTTTATTAGACTTCATAGGGATATGACAGAACCTGTCACCTGGTTCTCTTGTGCAAAGAATTGCTGTGTCCTAACTCCCAGGGTGTCTCCTGGTGTTCTAGGTAAGCCAAAATGGATTCTAATCTCTACTTGCTAAAACCCGTGTGGTTAGGCAGTGGGGAGAGTAGTGGTTTTCCTTCTGTCTACCTTCATGAAGATCCAGAACTGGAGCATTTCACACAGGTAAAATCAGCATAGCCCAAAGGGATTGTGAAGGTTATAAAAGTCAAAAGATTCTTATAGCTGTTGAGCAGCTGTTTGCTTAAATGCAGTCCCAGAACCTATAGATGTGCTGCTACCTATTTGTCATGGAGGCTCAGTTTATCATGGAAGCTCAGTGCCCAGCAGGCATCTTAATCCATTAAGCCAGTTAATCAAAACACCTCCATGTAGAGGAATGCATGTCCATTCTCTCCTCAGCTTTATCCTCATGAAATTTAGTGTCCAGGCTCCTAGCCAATTGCTATGTGCCCAGATAACCAAATTAGAAGGCTGGCTTCCTGCTTATCATACTGAAGAAATGCTAGGGCTAGCCAGTGATCCATTTGCTCTTAATTGTATGGAAAATGCTGTTGCCTCTTTTGTCGTTTCCAGTGACCTGTATTCCAAGCATCTTTTGCTATGGAGTGAGTCTTTTCTAGGGAGGAAACCAAAGGGATTAGCTGGAACCCTTATTGAAAATATTTATTCAAGTCTGTGGTGAGTCTGCAGGTATCACATTCCCAGTCCACCCTTGGGAGTGGCTTGGTTGGGGAGCTGTGGGCAAGGTCTTGCTTACTGCATAGTACACATGAAAAAATGGCCTTAAACTGTGATTCTTTGTGGTATGATGAGATATAATAAACTGACCCTGAAGAATGCACTGGCTCTTAAACTGCAGTTACTGTGTTTTTAATGAAGCAATACCCAAAGCTCTGTTCTTGTGGAGCAGTGGTGGGGAGGTTAGCAGTACCTTGATGGGCTAAGTGTCCTGTCTTGCTGCCATCTTCATGGATAAGTGGATCCCTCCATGTACGTGGAGCCTTGAGCCAAGTCACAGTCTGCTTTTCCAACACAACTCCCAAGCTTCTTGTGCAAAAGCTTGGTCCCTTGGTTCCAAGGGAGTGTGGGACATGTCACGGACTAAGGTGGAATGGTAACTTGTCTGCACTCTAAACAGGTCTTACTTCTGTGATGTTAAACCAATGGTTGGAATGACAAAAGTCATTCTTGATGGTTCTTCACAGGATACTGGTGAGATCGTGCTCACAGCCTCAATGATCCCTCTCTGTATAAAAGTAGCTAACATTAAGAGAAGGGGAAAGAGAAAATAAGAATAGACAAATAGCTTATGGGGAGCTGAGATCTTACTTTGTTGGCCCATATTTTTCCATTGACCAATTTGCCTGTAACCTGGAATTTGCAAGAGGTGCTGTGATAACCCCTCTCGGTTGCTGCAATGCTCATATAATCTGACAAAGTGAGAAGGGGAAATTCAATAAAAATGTAAGTGATATTAAAATGTCTTTCTTTCTCCCTTACCCCTGTCTCCCTTTTTTGCCAAGTGATTTTTTTTTTTTTTTTACTTTGTTGGATAACTGGGAAGCTATAAATAGTGGGTTGGGATAGGTGTATGAGCTTTAAGAGTGCATGTCAAGAACTGAAGGGTATCAGAGGGGAGGGGGGTTGCAGGGCTGGGTGAAAAGGTGAAGGGATTAAGCAAAAAAACAAAACGAAACTCATAAACACAGTGTGGGGATTACCAGAGGGAAAGGACGGTAGGGACAGGCAGAAGTGGGTAAAGGGGATAAATGGTGAGGGAAGGAGACTTGATTTTGGGTGGTGAACACAATACAATATACAGATGATGTGTTATATAACAATACGCTTGAAACCTACATAATTTTATTAACCAATGTCGCCCCAATAAATTCAATAATTTTAAAAACTGAAGGGGAGCTACTTGAGATAACTAAAGCAGTTGCCAACCGGTGGTCCGTGGACCACTGGTGGTCCGTAAGGTCTGAAAGGTTGGCGACTGCTGCTTAAAAATCATCCCATACAAATATATTGGTTTGCCCCAATAAAATATTTAGAAGTTTACATCTGCCTTTATTCATCAACCAATAAACGTTGGGTGCTATTTGCATGCCAGGCACTGCACTGAGCATT